TAAGGGCGAAGCCGGTCGTGGGCTGTCGACGGGTTTTCAGCAACCTTATGAGTAGTGTATTACAAAGCTTTACATTCCATGTTTCAAGAAAACACATGTACTCTCTCCTCAAGTCCGCATCGAGCGCAGTGAAGTCGGACTGTTTACCTGCTGAACATGGAACCAGTGGCTTATTTCGAGCATCCTATTTCCAGCCTTCGACCTCAAGTTGTGAGCCCCTTGCAGTGGGGTGGCTGACCCCATTACAGGGACAGGGAATAAGGTATGACAATGTTGCAACCAATATTTCAACAGAAGATATGAAAGTCTAGCTCTTAACAACAAGTGTCTTCTGAGAAGCATCAGACTCTTGCCGGTGGTCATGGTTAACCTTCGGACGATTGGATTGTGTGGCTTTCCGGGCTGACCTTTTCTAACTCCTGCTTTCTCTGGGGGGGGGAGACAATATCATCAATACTATAAAAATGGAAACGCCGATCAGCAGCAGGAAATCTCTCGCTGTAGCCACACTTCTTTCGAAGAGGACAGTACAAGTTTATCGCCAAGCCCGCCTGGCAGTACGACTTTTCGTAGTAGGCGGACCCACTGCTATTCATTGAACTGCCTTCCGCCGGCTTTGCCACAAAAAACATAGTTCCATGCAGTGAAGACCGTCAAATCACTGCAGCACTGAAGCTGGTTTAGGACGCAAGTGTGGCGTTAACAGTCTCAACAGAACCAACTAAGTGCCCACGGTATGTTTTTCCTTGAATCTACTCAACGCCAATGCCGTCGCACTGCGAGATAACGATACCATTAGGTGCTTCTTGTACAGTAATGTGTGGTCGGTGTATCTCGGGTCAGTGTTTCTGAGCGAAAAATCCAACTGTGTTACAACAGTGATTAGCTGCAACAAGGGTACTCTGAAATTTTCAGTCTCTGTGACTGCAAACAGCTGAACGCTCACCCCAAAACCCGTAGATTTTGGTGTACATAACTGCAAGAATCACAACCAGAATTACTCAGTAATTCCGCTAACTGTTAAAATTGTGACAGAGGTGCCAAAATCATGTATGACTGGCGTTGTCACATCTGACGCTTTCCGTAACCTGGTAGCGACATGCTTTTTTGGTTTTTCTTCTAGAAAACTGAACAAAATTGTCCGTTACATCAAGTGAGTGTCAGCGAATGTTCGCTAGCACACCAGACTTTGACCACAGCCTTCGTCCTCAATCATTATATGCGTACTGTGCACTAAATATGTCAAGCATATCACGTCCTGTGATTTACAGCCTACGCATACTGATTTGAAAGCGCACAGGAGAAAACTCAGCAAGAATGTTTTGCTCTGCACTATCATCATTACCATGCGAGGTAAATGCCACCGATAGGTTATCCGAGAACTAATTAGGTAGTTTCAGGCCGTTTCAACTAAACACATAGAGATAATTCATACACTGATGGAGACCTCATTGTACGAAAGTTTAGCATCACCACCCACACGAACCTCGGATGTTTCACTTAGGCTTTGCAGTGGGTACAATGCTTTTCTTAGGGGGGGGGTCAATTTGGAAGGCGATATTACCCTCATCTAGTTCAAATCCCGCTAGACTGTTCCAGCAGTTTCTTAGTTTCACAATTTGAAGCGCAATTCGTGGCTCAAAGGAACCGTTTTTCTCCTTTTTTCACAGAGTTACGAGTATTAGGACAACCAGTTTGCAAGAAAGCTATCAAATCAGGGGCACATGGACAGAAAACAAACGGGACAGTGAGGTGTACGGCTATGTGGTTAAAAGATGCGGAGCATTTGCAATAAGTGCAAAACCGGCAACACCCATCGACAACGATACCCTGAAGGTATAAATTGCAAGTTCATCAAAAATCGTCCCATCGCCACAATAGAACTTTTTACTCGCTCGGGTACGCTTAGCAACGGCCACAGTGTTACTCGACGAACGCCTTAGTCGACGCATCTGAAGTAGGTAGGTTGATATTTGGAACCTCATTCCCTCGACCACATCTGCCCATCTGCTTGGTCGGGAACAGTGAACAACTGAGGCCTCGAATGTCACGCATGTGTCGCTTACTTTCAAGTCAAACTCCAAGTCAGGCAAATTACCGATGATAACCGCACTCTTATAGGAGCACTTAGCGTGCTGACAGATAAAAGTAACTCAGACAGCTATAGAGAACTTATGTCGAATCAGGGGAATACAATATTCACCAAGTCATCCACATGAATTTCTTTTAAAAAAAATAATAGTAATCGTTCGGCTGTGGCACCATTCAGGTGCCTAGCTGCCATGCTTCCCAAAGGAAGCACGAGGGCTGGGATACTGCCAGGTTGCCCAAGCTTAGACAGGGGGAGTCGAGAGGCAGGGGTCGGGTTCGAACCAAGGACCTTCTGGTCATCAAATCCGTGCTCTAACCACTTGAGTCATCTCGCTTCTGTTGTATATTATAAGACGAGCTGCATTTCTGATGTCTTCTTTTTGAACCGATCTCAGAATGTAGAACTTGTCTAACTTGCTAGCTAACAACCCCCTTCGAACCTGTCGAATCAGTCTGGGTTTTGCTCATCCCTTTTGGGGGAATAGTGTAGTAAGAATACCGGTTTTCCAATAGAATAGTCAAAATGGACATAAAAGTAGCCATCAGACAGATATTTGTTTTTTTTAATGCACTAC